TTGTCCAGCAGGATGTGGCTCGGCAGTTCTGGGGTGTTTTGTCCAACCCAGCGGGTGGGATCAGGAAAGACCCTATTTTCCTAGCCCCAGACCTTACATCCCGACCTTAACTGCTTCCGAGCTGGATATGGGCGGAGTTTAAGCGAGGTCGGGATCTGGGGGGTCCAGGGGCAACGGGCTGTAAGGGTGTAGGAGAAGCTGGTTGACCGTTATCCGTTATCCGTTATCCGAGAGATTTCCTGCATGCGGGACTGCAAAAATCTAAAAATGCAGGGAGCAAGCATTAGGATTAGGCTGAGTGTTAGTGAGGGGGTGAGTACAGGGCGTATCCATCGCATCATTCCTCCCTCCCACCATCCCACGAAGGGGCCTCCCTCCCGTAGGGTTAGCGTTGGATAAGAAATAAGACACTGTGCTGGCTTAACTTCTTATTTTTACTGAACCTAATCCGTGCTGGTTTTCTGAATATTCTGGTTTAGCTTAAGAAGCGTCCAGCTACCTGGTCCTGCCAGGCTTGGAGACTGAAGCCTCACTTTCTTTCAACATTTCTCTTTTCCTTCTCATCACATACACAACCTTCACAAATGTCACACTTTCAAATTCGCCTTCAAGCCTTCTTTCTATGTCCTTCCAAAATGCATAGCCACGCCTCAGACCTTCCATTAAGTATTTCTCTTACTTTCAAGAAATATACATACTAAGAGCTGGCGAATTAAAACACGTCTAGCAATCAATGTTTCAGTACTGTATGCTATTTTAAAATATTTAGATGTTTATCATTGAACCCAGCAATGCTCCATTTTGGAAAATTATGTATAGGTATATGAGGTTGGAGAAGATGCAGGGGAGGGAGGAAGCAGGTCGAGCGGCCTGTTCCCAGGCCTCTAGGGGCTTGGATTTTAAAACGGCCACATTTTTCCTCTGGGAAGGGTGGAGGGGGATGGGGAGAGAGGGCGCTGAGGTCAGAGTAGTTCTCAGTTCAGAGGAGGGGACAGTCGTGGAGGAGATAAGGAGATAAGGCGTTTACAGGAAGCTGAGGTAGGTGAAGACTGAGGGCCCCATAACGGGACGCATGGCAGCCCTGGATGGGCACCCAGGCAGAACCAGAAAAACAGTGAATGGGGGAATTTAGTAAGATGCAGTGTAGAGTGAGGTGTCTAATGGCTGTGAGACGGATCCGTCAACCCCCATAATAGAGACTGAGGAATGGCCAAGGATCGAATTCAGGGAGGGCAGAATAAGTGGCCCTAGTGTCAATTGAAAAGGAGATCGGCTTCCCTGCCACCAGTCGTTACCAAGGCTCTGTCCTGGTGTGGACGTCTGTGGGGCCCTGTCGGGGCTGGGCAGCTTCTTCAGTGTCCCGGTCCCAGGAGGTCCGGGAGCTCCAAACCGGATCCAGAGGGCGGCCAGGGTCAGGGGGCTTCCGAGCCATGTCCTCTCCAGCCTGACGTCCTGGGGCCCGCGGGGTTCCCTGCGGTGTGGACTGTGGACGGCAGCCCGGCCCGCTCCCCGGCTCTGAGCCCCAGGCTTGCCCCTGCGGTGGCTCACACGCCAGGTCCCCCCTTCTCTCAGGCCTCGGGGCTCCCCTGTGCTCCTGCCAAGCAAAGGCCCTCTGATGCGGGTTGTCCTAACACAGGCCCCCGCCCTCAGCCCGGCCAGCGGAGCGCCAGCCCTCAGCCAGCGTCCGCCCTGGTCCACAGGGTGAGGCTTCTGCGGTGTCCCCTCCCCACCAGTACCTCCTGGCCATGGTGGTGGCGTACTTGGGCCGCGCGGGCCTCTTCTCCTGGCAGTACCAGCGTCCACTTCTTCCTGGGCCTGTGAGTAGTGCTGGCCTCGGGCGGGGGCGGGGCAGGGGCGGGGTCTCTGAGCTTTCATCTAGCTTTTAACCTATTTGTACTGTTTATTCTGGGCATAAAAATGACAGGATTGTAACCCAGTGTTTTTATACTGTTTGTTTGTTTGTTTGTTTTGTAAAAGCCAACAACCCTAATATCAACCCTAATAAAGCGCCTGGCTGGTGTGGCTCAGTGGTTGAGCATCATCCCAGGCACTAAGACTTCACTGGCTCAGTTCTCAGTCGGGCCACCTGTCTGGGTTGTGGGCTCGGTCCCCAGTAGAGGGCAGGCAGGAGGCAGCCAATCGATGTTTCTCTCTCTCCCTCTCTCTCTCAAAAATCAATAAAAACAGAGTTTAAAAAGATTGATCTCTATGGTGGCAACGGAACATTTTAAAAAAGGAAGGGGCTGGCTTCCCGTGGAATTTCGTCTTCACCATCAGGGGATGGCTCCCACCTCCACTTCACCCCACCTGTTCCCCCTTTGGTCCCTGCCCAGCGGCTCCCTGATGCCCGCTCAGGGCTCTGCGCCCCTGGCTGGCTCCGGAGGGCGCTGTGTGAGAGGGTCCCGTGTCCTTCCTGGGACGCTGGCCTCACAGGGGCCCCTGTCCTGCTCCTGACGGGCCACCTCTCCCCAGCTACCTGGCCAGCGACATGGAGGAGGACACCACGCCCCGAGGCAGGCCGTCTTGTCCTTCCTCTACGGGAGGAGCTGCTCCCGGCGCCCCTTGTTCCACAATCTGCGGTTCCAGCTCTTCCGCTCCATGGGCTGCAGAGCCAGGGTCACCGGGCAGAGTGTGAGCAGGTGGGTGGCCGTGGGGGCCGGGGGAGAGGGGTCAGCTGGAGAGAGGGGGCCGTGGGGGTGGGAGTTGGGCTTTGAGGGGGGAGAGTTGGGGCTGGACAAGGGCAGGTGAGAGCACCTGAGAGCCACTGCCTTTTCAGGGCTGCTTGTCCTTCCAGGTCCAGGCTTTCGACCCCCAGCTCCGGGTGTGGGGGCGGGACCGTGCCCTCCGGCCCTAGACCCCCGAGCCTCAGGTAGGTGTGTGTGGGGGGGGGCTGTGTCCTCACAGGCACAGCCGGAGAATTGGCTGTCTC